TGTACAATTTCCAATTCATATTCCTAGAGCCAAGTGAATTGTGTTGTCATGCCAGTAAGACCTTAACTTTTTGCAGTTGGACTATTCTGACAAACAGTAACACCCAAGGATAAAGGGTAACTCCACTCTATAAAAGCACACGGTAACAAAATTTTACCATGGACATGTTTTTTTTTTTTTTTATTATATGACTATCTTTCATTTACTGTGTTTTTTTTTTAATTTTTCTTCTTCTCTTAAATAAAAAGTTAACACCTTTTAAAAATATTTTTAAAAGTACATATTGAAAGCAAGTCTGCTGGGGTGATGAATTGTCAAATCAAATACTGATTTTGTTGTCAGATTGGGCAGAATTCTTGTTGAATTGAACAAAGTGGATTCTCAGTAGTGGGATTGTTTACTACTTCATTTGAATTTTGTCGTTTGCTCTGTGAAGCACTCTACTCCAAAACACTCTCATCCAAACAAAATTCATCCAGCCATGTCCACTCGCCTCAATAGCATACGCAACGTTTGGGGTCGGCTAATGCAGCCACACCCAACTGAACCCATCATGTACTTCAGCCTTTTCATAACCTCACTTGAACCCGAGCTCAATTTCAACAACTTAAACTACTATGATGGGGAAGATTACTTCCTTAACATGGACCCGATACCGCTGAACGTTGTTCGGAAGCAACTTATTAAATCGCTTGACGATGAGACAACAACCTTCATCCCCAACAGCATTATGGAGGTGAGTGACTTCGATGTACGGGCTGCTTACTATCCTACTTTGTCCGACCTAGAAGGATACCTCCACAAGGGTGTCCCGGTATTCGCACGGTGGCTATGTCAAAAATCATTGGATGTGGTGGGTGCTCCCTTCATACCCTTAGAGTTGATCCCTGTCTTCGATCGCAAGCCTATTGTGATGACCGACCATCTTCCTATCTACACCATTCCTCTTCATGAGAAGCAAATATTCATAGGGTCTAAGACTGCTGCAATTCATGTAATTGAAGTCAATGTTAACATTACATTGGTTAGTTTTAATGTTTTCAGTTGTAAAACAACCTTAAGAGGGATTAAGTACCACCGTATCTCTGTGTGTGGGTCGAAGGAAGACATTCCGGGCGCTCCATATTTTCCAAGAGGTGCAACATTTATTGTGTGGAATGCTAGAAATGTCAACCGTCCATCTTTCAAAGAAACTTTTAATAAGCTATACAATGCTTTTTCCCCGGAAGTTTTGGTCATGACGGAGGCTAGAGCTGACGCTGCTTTGCTGGGGTACGTGAAAGATGTCCTTCAAGGGGTGTACTCGGTTGATGGTTTCGGGATGGTAAATGGGTACTACGGTGTGCTTGTAATTTGGCAAAAATCCGATGTTTATCCCTGGGTGACTTACAGGGGTGAGGCTAGGTACGACCAGCAAATGGGTGTCGATTTTCAGGTATTAAGTTGTTACTTTCACTTATTATTTAATAATACTTGTTTCAAATAATTAAGTGTAGTAACATTTGTTTTAATCAATAATTGTCATTTTACTAGCCAGGGCCGAAATTCCTTCCAAGCCCCGATCGACTCCACCCTGCATCAACTTGGTACGAAGACAGAGGGGGGAATGATGATGGAGCTGTGAATTCAGACAACGATCACTTGTCTATGTAGGATAACACAAGTGTTGCGGGATTGAGCTACTATGTTACTATGTTAAGTACTATGTTATGTATTATTAGTGGGATGTGGAACTATGTTTAAGCTTTATGTCTAAGCTTATAAATGTATGTCATTATTATGGAGTACAATATTAATGTGTTATGTTTAAATTACTATTATATGAGGCAAAATTAGATTTTATTCATTTCTAAAGTGAACCACACCATGTTTTTAAAACCATTTGCTAGCAAAATTTGTAAAATTTTTAACAGACATATAAGACATGTATCAAAATAATTTAGAACTAGCATAAACATTATTTTTTTAATTTTGTTCAAATTTGAACCACAACGAACTCAAATACAACTAACAAATTATTTATAAAATTTATACTTCAAATTAACATACGAACTACCATAGCAGCCAAAAAGGCCAGTATTACATATTTCATAGTAGAAATTTTTTTGTCAAGTACATCAATCCTCTTCGAAATCTCCATGAAACCATTGTTGGTGGTGCTTCTAATTAGATCCTCCTCCCTTGCCCATTGCCAAAAATTACAAGACCTGCACTTGTAGTATGGTCGTCTTGGATTAGCCTCGGATAGTGAGATACGGAACTCCGAAATTGCTTGACCCCCGCAGTTACAACGCTTAGCAGCCACCCAATCAATGTCGCCGGAACCAATTACAAAATTGCTTCCACGGCCAACTGAAGAGGATGTATTCAAAGACATGTTTTTCGTAAATCCAAAGTCGATGTATTCCTTTTAGTAACTCAATAGGATATGTGTAATTATAAGCAAAGGGAAAAAGAGTTTATAAGTCCTAAAATATTTTTGGCGGTGAAAACACCAAAAATTGGCGCTTCTCGAAAAGAATATGGGCCTGGGAATTACGTGGGCTTCAATTGGCCTAATTAATAACACCCATTTCTTTTATGAAACTGTAATCAGTATAAGTACCACTGGAGAACAAACTAAAATTTAATTTATACAAAACAATATCATAATGCGACTCTAAGCACATGTCAGTTCAACTTGACAAATTTTCAGTGGTACATGTTATATTTACAATGGTACAAAAGAGGAACTTAATTCGACGTTTATTTGATGGATAGTTAACTTTACAAAATTAACCATATGAACAATAACCACACAAACCCCCCCTCCTTGGAAAAAAACATCTAATACATAAAATTTATATAAAACTTTGTAACCACCGTTAAATTCAGGACCATCAATGTAGTTCTTTACAAACATACAAAGAACAAGGTGTATCCAAATGATGTTGGTGATAATATTACAATGTAGTTAATTACAAGATTACATTTCCCATCTTTTGTATTTTCATCCTATCATCGTCATAAATGGTTGTTGTACTGTTTGTGACCTTAATGTTAGTATAATTAATAAAAAAAATTAATACAAACAATAATTATTAGAAGAATTACATGTTTCATGTAATGGTTTTCCTCTTAAAAAACTGAGTGTAACCCTAAAAATAATTAGTGGTACCCTAACATATATGAAAGGAACACTTGTTTGACTCAAAGGTAACCCTTCAATAACAGTTGGTAACACCAGTGCATCAATTATTGGTACCAGTGTCACGGTTACGTACCACAACATTAGGTGTATTCAAGTGGTACCCTACAAAATTTTAAATGTACCCTAAATTAATAAAGTGGAATAATTATGAATACAAGTATACAACGAATTCCCTTGTGTCTATTTCTCTAGTTTCAGTTGCAAAATATAAATTGACGTCTCAAAATAATAAAACTATTCAAAACCATTTTTTAATTTAGGGTCCCAACGTAATTTAATAATTCTTCATATGCGGTCAACAATGACAACATATCATAATAAGTAGGAAAATAAAAATACAAGATTTTCTGGAACTAACAAAAAGATATACTTTACTTTCATTGATTACGTATTAAGTTCATGCGATGTTGTGAAAGACAATCATGTATTTCTTTGATAATCAAAGTGATGTGTCTATCATCTTTGACAATCATGTTTGTGTCGATGATAGTGTTATGTAAGGAGTGATGACACATTACTTACCCCATAATGAAATCATTATACAATTATTTCACTAAATTATAATCCACAATTTCAATTTTCCTACATTTTCATCTTACAAATATGATGATACCCTAGGTGGAGAAAAAGGTACCCTTATGTATGTCAATCATACCTTTATGTATGTACAATTAGTACCCTACCAAAATACAGGGGAACCCTAATAAATTTTAGTGGTACTAAGACCCTAATAAAGTTCAGTGGTACTAACATAAATCTACTAGAAGAAACTAGTATCCTCATACGGAATGTTACAATGTAAGTCCATCAAAATGAATTAATACTTCAACTTAAGCCCTTTTTTACTCATATATGTTAGTAGTTTACAATTGAACATTTCAATTGTTTAGTGAAACTTTTAAAAGTTTAGATTGGACATTTTTGAAGTTCAATGGAACAATGGTGTCCATTGAACTAAATACCACAAAGGTCGACCGTTCAGTTGAACCTTTAACGCTTTTGGAGGAACAAGAGAGTAGTACAGTTGAACCTCACATTGAACCTGACATTCTTATGATACCATTGTTCCAGTTGATGCTTTTAGCAGTACAGTTGGACCTTTGAACAATTTAGGAGTAAAGTTGAACATGTTACAAGTACCTTTGAACACTTTTGGTGGAACAAGAGTCTTAGGTCGGATGGTCCTTTAACAAAAACATATAAACTTTACTAAACCATACAGAATTATCTCCCGCTCCTAATCTCATCATGTTTTCAACCATATAGTTTGTATGATTCAACTTTAGAAATCAAGTATACACCATCATTCAACTTGCTTCAATCTCGCAACTTTAGCCATGCAACGAAATAATAATTATATATTTTCATATTTAATACAATCTATTACTATATACTTCCATTTTCCGGAACTGAAATAATTATCCAATGTAAGGAGATAAATCATCAATATCTGTAATGAACCTAGTCCAACATTAAGTTTTCCATTATATCAAAATATTTAAATTTTCTTTACAAAAAATGCCAAGACATATACCCACCAGCATACTCACAAGTTATCAAAATATGTAAGTTAGAATTTCTTTACAAAAAATAGACCTGAAGGAAGATCATTTTCCCACAACATAAAGCCCAACTCAACTAAAATAACAGGCTCTTCAATTCACTTCAGGTGGCTGTTAGACAACTAACTCTACCCACATCCCAGCAATTCTACACAAAAAGGGTGGGGTCCTTGCTACACACAAAGCTACTGTGTACTGTTGTTAGACCGACCAAAGTGCGGAGTTTCACTCAAACTTCCAGGAGTTGCTCAATTTGCAGGCCTGAGCTGGTACGGGAACTGAGACATGGCCGTATTAGGCGACATATAACCATCCATTTGCATCGGAAATCCCTGCATTTGACAAAACTGTTGGAACGCCATATAATATGGGGGAAAAAGGGGCCTTTGAGTTGGAGAAAAAGCAGCCCCAACAGAAGGAGGACGCTGAACTCCAGACAACGAAGTGAAGTAGCCCAAAGACCCATCCCTATCTTTCATTTGAATGCCTCCAACACAATGTGGACTGTAACCCATCATAGGAAATGAATGTTGTTCCTATGTACATAATGAATAACGAATCAATAACACATACACCTTCTAACTTCAACTTTACATAAATTTATGAGTTATTTACCTGTGGAAATGAGGATTGTGGGTTGTTAAGACTACCCCCACCAGCGGCTGTGACTTGTTTCTTCTTACCCGGTTTCTTCGATTTTTCAATACAAGTCTTGTACCTCGAATCTGTAGTACGGTGAGACGGTTTCTTCAGAATTGGTGGGTCCTTTATGGTAGCAAGTTGTAGAGACAGGTCCTTCGCACAACTGCCTTGCTTTTCAGTACTAGGTGGTGGAGCCTCCTTTTCCAAACACACGGAGGATGGTGTCCCATTACACCCCATAAGATCAGATCTATTCCTGCTCATCATGGACAGTTTCTCTTCAACTTGGATATCAAGCAACTGTAGACCGTTTAACACAACATCAAAGGCACTCTTGCAAATCGATGCCTTAGAACAAATAGGAGAAAACTTCACCATCATCTTATCAAATCTACACACTGCCTCCGTCTTACTCGGATCATGGTACTTCACTTTCACTCTAGTGTGCTTCCTAATAACATCTTTCCGCCAACGACGAAGGATGTACTTGTCGGGAATTTCTGTACAATCATTCATTTGGTACACCATAATCATATGGCGACACATGATACCATGGCAATGAAAGTACCTGCATTCACAATCTGCTTCTTTCGTGCTTCTATTGTATGTAACCTTGTACACCCGTTTCCTCTGCGAGGGAACTTCTTTTCTTGAATTCTTTGGTTTGAACCAAACAATATCCTCAAGAACATGTTCTATCATTGTGTCAGATAATTGCCTCTTCTCCAGACCCGTCACATATAACAGCCTACTACACTCCCTTTGGACTTCTTTGAATTTGGCATCGGTATAAATTTTGCGAAACACAGACTCAGCTGGGAAGGATGTCATGGGTTGCCTAACAAATCTGGAATTGTTGTCATCAGCTCTTTTCTCACTAATAGCTCTAACCTCCAGAGCTTCACAATATCTCTCCACAAATTCACTAAGCAATGTATGCCTGCTCAAATAACCATCGAAGAAACTATGTATACTCTCAACCCTTTGGGTTGTTTTCATGCCGGCCCAAAACAGATGCTTCACGAAAGCAGGTATCCACATATGACGTTCATCATACAGGCCTAAAAACAGAAGGTAAAAGGCCAGAAGGTCAAAATTGCATACGACAAACAGTAGAAAAATTAGGCATCAAGATATCAGGTCCTGTTCCAGAATTATATCACAATTACCAGATAAAAGCCACTATAAATGAAATTTTACCGGTTATTAACACCATTAATGCTGATTTCGGAGACAACAAAAATAAAGATACAAAATTGAAATTACCAATCACATAAATAATAACCTCATACCAGATAAAACCCACTCAATATCAACCTACTTCAACCATATACTGAAAATTATAAATATAAATTGTTAAGATGGATAATGGATAAATAACCATTTAAGTTCCTTTACATAACCATTTACCATGTCAAGATGACACATAACCATTTAATTATATATATAACATAATTGACATAAATTGTGGCCTTTACTCATTTAGCTACTACTACTTAATGGAGTTGTTATAAACAATGACAAAGTCGATTTATTGGACTATTACGTATTCATGATCTCTTTCTGCAATATTTGTTATATACTTCACATTTGTCTGATAAGTATTTGCCTAATTTTAGCCTCTCAATATTTACAACATGAGTTACTTACAAACTCTTCACAAACCAAGTAATTAATATTAAAGACTTTATAATAAATAGTAAAATGACACAAAAAATTTCAGATTTTATACAAAACCATCTAACCTTCCAGCCACTCGTCCATTTCACATTTGTGTTTCTTGATCACTTCTTGCCACCGTCTTTCAAACTCTTCACAATCCAAACTATCATACACAACACTCTCTAACTCTTCCTTCAACTCAGGATATTTCGGATGCTTCCCTAGTTTTGTAGAAATTTTTTGCAAAATGTGCCAAATACACCATCTGTGTGTAGTCCCTTTCATTGTAGTCTTAAGCGCTTTCCTCATGGAAGGGTCCTGGTCTGCAAGTATTGCAACAGGGGTTTTGTTCTCCATACAACGCAACCAATTGCTAAACACGCACTCAAAAGTCTCAGCGGTCTCTCTATTGACAAGCGCGCATCCGAAAAGAATGGTTTGGCCATGATGGTTAACTCCCACAAAGTTGCAAAATGGTAACTTATACTCGTTAGTCAAGTAGGTGGAGTCAAAACAAACTACATCGCCAAACTCCTCGTATGCCATGCGACACCTTGCATCTACCCAAATTACATCCTTCAACCTACCCTCTTCATCCACTCGATAAGTGTAAAAAAAATTTGGGTTATCTTCAACCATACTTTGGAAATAGGTAAACATTGCTTTAGCATCACCTTCTTCAAATATTTTTTTCTTCTGCTTTGCCACTTCTTCATGTAGATCTTTCTAGGCAAAGGGCGTGTTCTCCAACCCATTACGCTCCCTGGCCATTTTGTTATAGATTTTTGCCACGGGAACCCCGCATCTCCTTTCATTGAAAAGCTGCCTGACAACATGAGGATTCTCAACCAAAAACTTTTTCCTCAACCTACTTATATTCTTAGCCTTCCCTGGAGTGGGGGTGTGTCCAACATGCTTCATATGTGCCCTTTGAACAACCCATTCACCACGTTCATTAACATTTGCATACACATTCACAGGACATTGAACTTTCTTACTCCTCCTCTTCACACCGACCACTTCATCCTCAACAATCTGAGCATCAGTCACTAACTTATCCTCCACCTTCCTCCTCTTCCTATTAGGCAACCCAAAGCACTCACACGTCCACAAACAATTCCTTCTCATTTTTGCGTTAGCACCTTTCCCTACTTTACAAGCACTTGTACGAACTACCCCAAATCCATTTTGCTTCCCATATTCCCTAAAATATTCATCAAGTTCCTGTCATGAGTGGAAGATCATCCCAATTGAAGGAGGAGGAAGACCAACTTCTACTTCAACATACTCCTCTATCTCAACAGATATTGCAACACTACTAAAGCCCCCCGACCTAATTCATGATGAGCCCACCAACTTCTTGGGAGTCTTATAAGACTCTTCACCAACCATAACCTTTCATTGAAATACCCAAATAATTGAAAAGAATTAAAATTAACAACAAACATAAATATTTGATTACCATACACATGTACCAGAGAACTACATCAAAAACATCTAACATACCTTAATTTCTAATAACAAATAATAATTTATGTTAATAGTCAATTTATGTTAGTTGCAATTCACTTATTAAAACCTTCCGTCTATTAACTATTCATCTACTTTCTTATTTTACCAACTTTTAAGTAAAGGGTAGTTGGTTTTACAAACACAAATAATTGATTAACATACACATACATCTAACCCAAACAAAACATACAAGTGGTTCAAAGTTACTTACATTCGATTTGCTTCAGAAACTTTTCGGTTCTCATACATGTATTTTCCATCAATTAGATAGCACAAACAAAGGTGGTCTGAAATTATAATAAGGAATTTTGAATTTTGTAAATAAATTCAATTGGATTGAAAGGCAAACAGCTTCATCATGTAATGATGAATAAAAATTAGTAGAATATCCTGCATGTCATCAATAATTTTTTCACTTCTGGTTGACACGATTTAGTTTTACTTGTAAGGTTTATAACTGGTGGCACTTGTCAATTAAACACTAAATTGCTTTATGTGCCTAATCAAGTGGTTCAAAGTTCAAACCTTCCAATATGCAAAGTTGTGGACCTAGTTTGACATTCATGAATTTGCAGTACATTAGATGATTAGAGAAGCTTTTTTTTTATTTTTTTATTCTGGGGTTTGTTTGGTGCATTAGTTAGAATTGCATTGTCTTCAGACTTAACTTTCAATTACTACCTGCTTTGTCAAAGAACTACATCAAATACATCTAACCCAAACAAAACATACATAATGCTAATACCCAAATGACAACCCTCTACCAATTTCAATTTTCCATTTTTATTGTCAATTCCAAATTCAATTTTACACTCCTATACAACCCTATATTGATTAATTTTTAATTAGACTAACAAAACAATAACAATAATTCACATTTCTTAGCAAAAATTTGGTTAGCTCAATTAATGTTCAACTACAATCACTAAATTATAAATTTTTCGAATACATTTATAAAAAAACCCTAACATTTCAGAAATTAATTTCCGATTACTATGCCCATATACTATTAGTAATTAAATTCTTACCCCTTTCATCAACTCCCTTAAAGCAGCACCGTCGCACGACTCTTCGAACTTATCTCCGCCTACACCGCCTCCATCAATCACCACCTCCACACCATCATCGCCGGTGTTACTAACGACACCGTCGTCGTCAGTAACACCATCCATTGTATTAATTCGACAGAATGAACAATTGTTTTTTTACAGCTCTCCAATGGTGTTATCAAATATTAACAGAAGGAAGAAGAAAGCTGAGTTTTTTGCTTTTCCAAATACTCAAGTTGAAGTACACTTTTCTTTTTTGATGAAGAAGTTGAAGTACACTTTCTCTTTGAGCTGTCACTTTCTTTCCTTCTTTCAATTGGGACCACCTCCTTGTTCTATTTTTTTACTATTCCGTTATCTTTTCCCTCCAAATACCAGCCCCGTTTTACTTTATTTTCCACTTAATTGCAAAATTGCCATTGTGAGACATCTTTTACTTGTCTCACAACCCTGGGTTTTTACTTCCTCAGTATTTTGCTTGTTGAAGGATTAATATTTGTTGTGTGTACTGTACTGGAAAACTTCAGCATTTTTTTTGGTAAATTAATTTCTGTTTTAATTAATTATAATTTGTTGATTATACTTCGTAAGTTATAACTCACTTGGACTCCAAAGATGGTAAGATTTTATTAAAAAAATTAAAATAAAAGTACTTGTTAAAAAAAATGTAAGCTAATAAACTCGGGTCCCCTATGTCCCAACCCGCCGGTTTTCTTGGGTCGGGACATAGGCCGAGATTTGAACTACCCGAAGTTTCGAGTATTCGGGTTTTCGGGTACCTGAAAACCCGGGTATCCGGATTTGAACAACCCTAGCTGCCACGAGCACAGAATATTAGGGTAACAACCCTAAAGGGCACATTTTCCTACCCCTATAAGTACCCCAAACATTTATGATGGGAAGGGTGGATTGTGACATAACATTTAAGAGCACACTCAAGCTCCCACTTTTCATTTTTTTTTAACTTTTAAGGCAATTTCATTTACTTTAAACTAATTTCATTTACTTTTGAGAAATGAAACTAGAACCTACTTTATAAAGTTAAAATATTACAAAATTACCATTAATGACATGAAAAGCATGTGAGTCGTCCGATTTAAGGGTTAGATTAGTTCCTAGTTCTTATTTTAGCCTTGAATCTCATTATAACTTGGTTCATATATATATATATATATGGTCTCCATCCCGCTGATCCATCAAGATCATTGGTTTCTCTTAGTAATGTATTATGAAATAAAAAAAAGGCAGATCATCATTGTTTAAGGGATATAACTAAAATTTTGGTAAGAAAAATAATATTTGTCATTCAGTATAATTTAATACAATATAAATGTATAACAACACTATATTTATTTTTTACAACACAAAAATGCTCAAGGGTTTTGTTTAATGATATGAAGGTTTTGTTTGATTAAATTTATCCGATCGAAATCTGTCTTGTTGTAGATTCGTATACTGATGGTGGTAGTGGAATTTGTTTGCTAAAATACCTTGAGGCAAATGACGTTCACGAATGGGATAAAGTTGCATTAACGGTAGTTAATTTTTCTCATCTGTTTTTTTTTTTTTTAATTTCAAAAAAAAAAATGTATCAACTATAGTTTAATAAAAGTGTTTGATTTCACATGCATTGTCGATAACTTTTATGTTCAGGAATCTGAAATTTGGAGGGAACGTATAAATTATTTTATGAGACTTTTTTCAAGCAAACATAACCATACCAAATTAAAGAGGACACTTTTGAAGGAAGAAGATCTTGCAGAGGAAAGACTACCAAGAATAAAGGAAAAGAGAGAGAGGAATAAGAGAACATATCTCAAATTCTCAACAGAGATCCCTCAAATGCGTCAAGTTTGGAATTTAATTGTTGTTTTTTTTTTTTTCAAAACTTGCTCTAGTCGTCCATTAAGGTTTTCACTATCCTAGGGTTGTTAATTTTATCTTTTAGAATTCTTGTTAGCAAGGGATGTATGTCCAATAATAAATATGTTTTTGATTTTCATTAATAAAATTAGAGTGTGATTATTTGAATTTATTAGATCGTTGTGAGCTTGCGATTGCTTTAGTTTTTGCAATTAAACTAACAATTTTGATCGAGATTTCAAAATTGTTCCCTCAAGTCTGGCGATTGATTTGAGTCGTCGATCCCAAACCTTATAATCCACCACCTGAATCCATATCAACACTTCCCATAACAAATATTATAAGGAGGAAATACTAATCAAATACTTCCTCCGTTTTTATTTAGTTGACGCGTTTGATTTAGACACATATATTAAGGAGAGTAGAGAAAGTGAGAGAGAATGAAAAAACAAGTGGGGTAACTTGTAAGTGCAAGGTAAAAAATTTACCCCAAAAAGAAACCTGTCAACTTAAAAAAACTTCTTAAAAAGGAATACGTGTCAACTAAAAAGAAACGGAGGTAGTAATACATAAATGAGAATAATTATTTAAATATACTTTCACGAGGCTTTTTTAAGCCAAAAGAATTATTCCAAATTAAGGGGGGTGCTTTTGAAGTACAATTGAAAGACAATGATTTTGACTAGAAGCTTTTACTACGAAGTATTTGAATTTAGGGAGATTATATGTAAAAAAAAAAAAAAATTTATCTTTAAATTATTACTCCGTAGTTCATTGTCATTTTATTTTTAAAGTAGAAGTTCCTTTTTTTTTTTTTACAAATTAGAAGTTCATTTTTATCATGAGTTTATATATATATATATATATATATATATATATATATATATATATATATATATATATATATATATATATATATATATATATATATATATATCTTAGGTTAGGTCTCGTGTCACGCACGGTAACTTTTAATAACTATTTTTTTAACGTTATATTTAATTATAAAAAATTTTATCTGGCTAAGTTATTAATTTGTAAAATGAATTTATTACGAAAGTCTATTATTAGCAAAATAGATATTTTAAAATGCGTATGTATGTATATTTATTCCCTCCTTATTTTAATAAGTAACGAATGTGTAGTGAGAGGAATGATATAAAAAAAAAATTAATAGTGGGTATAGGTGGGGGCCATGACAAGAGATAAATATAATTCATTTTGAATTGGATTAAT